ATAAATTATATTTTCGTAGTTATTCATGTCAGCAACAATACGCCACAGTCTATTGTAGAAATTAACAACCCATTGGCAGTTAATGCAGTAAAACCTTATATTAAAATGAGTTTCTTCCCAAGGTCATATTAAGTTATTAGTCACAATATAAGAAAATAAACTTCTATTAAACCTGTCAATATATACAATTAGTACTTATTTACAATAGTAAAATAAATAATAATATAGTCAATCTATAATGTATCACGGCTGGGCAATCCTAGATATTTTTTCGTATTTAGGAAAGGAATAACTAGTTGGTAAATTAATCATGATATCTCTCTGTTTTTTTTCGCCTAACAAATGTTATTGCGAATTTTTCGTACTAACTGCACATTCTGTGGATTTATTTCATTATTTTGAACAATATACGAACCTTAAGTGACTAAAATTAAATCTAATCAGAATCATAAAAACTGTATTATTCGTGCTAAAAGAATCTAATAAAGATCTGTTACTTTGTCTCCTGCGAAAAAACAGACTATAGGAATCTATCGAATGCCTATATAAATAAAATATCACCTATAAATAAAATATTACAAAGCGGCAACAGCAAGAAAACAAGTAATATGGAAGGGATTCCTGATTGGTTTCCCTCCGTCTGACAATATACGAATATTTGTATATCGACATATGGTAAATTTTCAAAGAAATGAGTTAAACACTATCTTCGAAATTGTTTAATGGACCAATATTCGCAGTCATAATGTATAAAAATTGCCTACAAGTGGTGGACACTACAATAATGCGAAATGAAAGGACGTAGAATCATTATTGTGATTATATATATATATATATATATATATATATATATATATATATATATATATATATATATATATATATATATATATATATATATATATATAATTCACAAAAACACATGTAATGCGAGAGTTTCGTTTGGTAAATTTTGAATAAAGGGAGATCGGATTAAAACATCTTCCTTCTGAAATTTAACTTTCAGAGGTCGGAGTGCCTCTACGATATCGATGCAGCATCGGCAAAGAAAGCGACAAACGCCGAGTTATTTATCTAGTACATTTCTACATTATTCATTCTGTCGCTGATGTAATGAAAACTCGCATCGAGTACAATTAAAACGTTCACCAACATTTTAGGCGGATGTAATCAAATATATCCTTAAGAAAGAGAGATGATTCGATTTAGAATATAAATATATTTTTTTTTAATTTTGTACAGAGTTTGTACTTTGTTTATGCTTTTCTTTTGTTCATGTATTGTATGTAAATATCTTTTTCTTTCGCTCAACCAAACCCAAACTGTTTTTTCAAAGCCACCGAAGCTATGCAATTGCTGATATGTAATACAATCTATGTAGCAGTAGTATGCCTTCTGTGTGCTTTATTAAACACGTCCTCGACGTGAAATGAAACTGAAGTTCGTTTAGAAAGTTCTCATGCATTTTTGGACCTCTGTATGAAAGACAAAGATGGAGTGTTGACTCGAATTGTTACTGGTGACGAAACTTGGGTTCACCATTATGAACCTGAGTTGGGACTCTATGCAATGGGACAAAAAAGGCACACCACCACCCAAGAAATTTAAGGTGGCACAATCGGCTGGGAAAATCATGGCGACAGTTATTTGGGATTCAGAAGGAATCCTATTGATTAATTATAAAGATGAATGTGTCTCCATAACCGGAAATTACTACGCTTCAATCCTAGAAGGCAGTTGTTCTTGGAGGTTACAGGTCCGATTTTATTACTATCCTGTCTGGCGTGCCTCAAGGCTCTCATCTTGGCCCTCTTTTCTGTCATCATATTTGATATACATAAATTTATAGGTAACTCCAATCATTTACTTTACGCCGATGATAAAAAGATATTTCTCAAAGTTCGTACAATTGAAGACTGCGAATCAATTCAAAAAGATCTTACCTCTTTATATAACTTTTACGTAGCTAACGGCATAAATGTAAGTATATCCAAATGTCAATGTATATCTTTCACCAGAAAACTAAATCCAATAGTATTTCCCTATAATTTTAATGGAATTTTAATTAAGAGGGTCACAGTTGTTCGGGATTTAGGCGTACTCTTTGATGTCAGTATAACCATTCGAGATCATATCAATAGTATATGTAGTAAATCATTTCGTAATAATGCGTACATGTCTTCCATTTACGGAATTACTAAGTTTTAAAATGGTTTATTTCTCGTATGTAAGATCCATTCTTGAGTATGCACGCCAGGATTGGTCACCATTTTTTAAAATTTACATTAATAATATTGAAAGAATACAACGTGAATTTATTTCACACCTGAACTATAAATTTAAACATAAAAGCTCATCATATTTAGATTACTGCCGACACTATAACTTTCTTACGCTTGAAGAAAGACTGTAAACTGTTAGATATGGAACTTCTATACGATATTTTACGTGATGGTATTGACTGCCCGGATTTACTGAATACTGTCACGTTTAATATGCAACGAAAACGTACAAGAATCACCAAGGAAACTTTGTTTAGTATACCTCGTCATTCCACACTTTATGGTAAAAATAGTATCTCAACATGTTTGCTATCAAATTATAACAAAACATTTAATACCATCGATCCCTTTATAGGCAGTAAAGTGATTTTAGAAACAAGGTACGTGCATGCATATTAAACACTGTTTCTGTTGTTTAATTTACCTTTGTTTGTAAACGTAGGATGCCGGTAAGGTACATTATGAAGAACACTTACTTTAGGTAGCTATGTTTAAATAATAAGTGAGCTATTTATATATTTTAAAATATTTATGTACGTTGGTGTGTACGTATACTTGTATGTATATATGTAGAATATATAGAATATATTTTGACATGATATAAATAAATGAATTATAAAATTAACTCGAGGAGTAAATCCCACATCAATTTGTCAGTAACACCTAATATCTTAGTGTTAGTAAACCTAAAACTACTTAATTTTATTATTGATATTTTATTAAGCTGTTTTAAATTGTTTAATTTCCATCGTTTTTATTCATTATAATTGTACCTAGCTTACCTTTATATTTAATATGTGGATAACTGTTATTGGCATACTTAGGTAAATTTGAAATTGTATTTAGTGATATACGCTGTTGTTATCCTTATTGAAAAAAATAGAACTATTGAAGGAAGAGAAAAGAAGAGGAAAATTGACCAAAGGAATCCTTCTTCTGCACGACAATGCGCCTGTTCACAAGTGCCATGTTGCGATGGCTGCCCTGCAAAAGATGGGCTTCGAAATTTTGCCACATCCACCCTATAGTCCTGACCTGGCCCCCAGTAATTATTACTATTTCCAAACTAAAAAAAAAGAACTTTGTGGGAAAAAGTTTTTAAGTGATGAAGAAGCGAAGGAAGCAATTTCAGCGTATTTTTTAAACAAAGACATTTTTTTAGGGTATAAATAAGTTAATTGAAATATTAAAAAGGAAAAATAAATTTGGATTTTTATTTCCACTCCTTACCCCCCCCCCCATTCCGCGAACTTAAATTTTTTGAAAACTGCACTTAAAATTGGTTAAATAAGTACTATAAAACACGCGCACCCCAAGCATGTATTGTCTATCAGAATCTGAAAATTGCGCTAGCACAAGGTCGGCCCGCCCCCTGCCCCACAGCGCCCCCAACGTCGTTCTGTGCAAGTATATTAGTTTTCCAATGGTAAGTTTTAAACTGTGGTAGTATAGTACAGGGATGCTGAGACAAAATAGCGCAAGGTACATTAAACATTGCGATGCTAACTTTTGCTATTTTCTTTTTAGTTATTTATTTCGCAAACTTTCGCGAACTCCAACGGTCGCGGTGCCGGCAAAATACGCATGTGATATATGTACGTATACGATTGGTCAAAATATCTTTTGATATTGTGTAGTGAATAAGAAAACGAATTGTCCGTTTTAACAAGACTGCCCTAAAAGAAGGGTAATGTTTTTCGAATTTTTGTATGTTTTGTTGATTGGTACGAGCTTGGGGTTCGAGACAGAACACTAATTACAACTTAAAATCACACTAATAACAAAACGCAATTATACTACTGTTCACATTAGTTTGCAGTTCTATACCGGCCTTATATAGTTCCAGAACTTTCTACTTTAGAAACATGTAGAATGTTCGAGTACACACCGGTCCCGACTGGCTAGGTGTCGATAGTCTTTGGTAGTTCCATCCTGGAAATTTCTAGAAGAATTTTGACGCTCCTAGTTCTGCTACTCGATACTAGATGGCGCTAGTGGTAACTAGTGTCACCCCGTAGCCGCCAAGTATTTATTTGGTGGGTTGGTAAGGATTTAGTTGGCTTTGAATTGTTTAACATTAAAATAAGTAAGATATCTTTAACAACAGTTTATTAATCAAGCCGGACACAAAGAACGTAACATAATATTTATCCTTGATCCGAACGGAACAAAAGTAAAGTAACATAATATAATCAATGGAACAAAGGATTTTTGCTATTATTACAGATAACATATATTTACTTTTAAATTTCACAAAAGAAACCTAAAAAAAATTGTGACCTAAATTTCATTATCTAATAAATACCATGTCACGTTTTATTAACTCGTTTACGTGTTTGTCTGTTTTATTTTTATTTTGATAGTTGGGTTGAATTTAGTAATTGATTTTCAACTAACTTCCTGGTGAGCTAGAGACTTAAAAATTTTGAACACAACTCAGAATCCGAAAACAATGTAAGAATATTATAATAAAATAGTAAGAATATTTCAAAAAATATACATGTCCATAAAGAATGTCGTCAATGGGTAATGTGACAAGTAATACGACATTTTTGTAATTTGGAAAAATACTTTTACTAGTTTCACAATATTTACTTTAAATTATTATTATACTGAATATAAAAACCGACCGGTTTCGCCTCACGGGATCATCTGAGTAATACGGCATTCGTAACAATGTGGTTATATCAAGACAGGCAAGCACAGTATTGTGGGTACCTGGCAAACTGGAGCTGGGCCTTCAGTCGCGTCGGGGTCTGGCGGGGCGGGGTCGCCGCCCTCGTCGATGACCAGGCGCCCGGAGCCCGAGCCGCCGGGGGAAGCCCCGCCAGAACACTCCGATGCGGGACTCTCCTCGTCGTCCTGGTTCAACACAGTTGTTAGATGTTTACCGCGTTTTTATTTACTATTTCCCTCTTTATTATCTGTCACTCCGTTAACGAACTTTTCAATGGAGTTTTTGGCGGGAACTCGGCCGACAACGGACTGTCGCTCCTGTTTTGTCGCTTGAATAATGATTTGAAGTGGATTTTAATCCGTAAAAGTGATGTGATTTTGTGAATTAAGTGTCTGCGCGTGTGAACTATTAGAGAAAACGACGAAACAAGTGCTTTGACGTTGATATAAACCTCAAGTTAATTTGATCGCTTGGGCGCCTTATGAACTTGAGTGGCTGTCGTCATCAACAGTCCGCTGGGTTGAGCTGTCGTCAAAATCTCCCAAAAACTTCGCAATGTGACGCATCAGCATATTGTGAAGAAAAAATATATAAAATAAAGATTCTGAAAGAAATGATAGGCTCAGAAGGGCTAGTACCCAGAGCCGTAAAGCCAGTTAAATAAAAAAAACTTTCCAATGACCTAGAGATTTGATTTTAAGTTGGAGAGGTCTCGTCTAATGAAGTCAACGCTCCGTTCCCCACGTGCTCTAATCCAGAATCCCGAAACCTTTCAGCTCGAGTTACGTAACCGCTTCCAGTGCCTAGAAGATTGCAATGCAGTGGACGATATGAACGACAAGCTCGTGGAAACTGTCCATGCGGTCGGAGCTAAGTTCTGCAAGACCCGCCGCAGAAGAACACAAAAACTCTCCGATCACACTCTTAATCTCATGGCTGTTAGACGGGAGATGAGGCTGCAATCGTCAACAGATTTGACAGCATACAGGCAACTGAACAGACAGATCTCCAAATGCATGCGGCGAGACTTACGCAACTTTAATACTTCTCGTATTAAAGAAGCGATCGAGCGGAACCAGGGCTCCAAAGTCTTTGCCAGAGATCTGTCTGCCAGAAAGAGCCAACTGTCAAAGCTGAAGACTGAGTGTGGCAACATCGTTTCCGGGACACCTGAGATTTTGAGTGAGATTGAGAGGTTCTATGGACAGCTATACACATCATCGTTGGAGCCACACGCAAGTGTGAGTAACGATCCAAGAGCAAGTCTTATCCGACACTATTCCGATGATATCCCGGACGTCAGTCTGAGCGAGATTAGAATGGCTCTCCACCACCTTAAAAACGGCAAGGCCCCGGGCGAGGATGGAATTACAGCGGAGCTTCTGAAAGCGGGTGGAAAACCGGTACTTGAAGTCCTTCGGAAGCTCTTCAATTCCGTCCTCCATGGTGGCACTACTCCGGAGGCGTGGAGCAGAAGCGCGGTGGTTTTGTTCTTTAAGAAAGGCGACAACGCTCTCTTGAAGAACTACAGACCGATTTCCCTTCTGAGCCGCGTCTACATGCTATTTTCGAGAGTCATTACGAATCGTCTCGCACGCAGACTCGACGACTTCCAGCCTCCCGAACAAGCCGGTTTCCGAAAAGGCTTCAGTACCATAGACCACATACATACCCTGCGGCAGATTGTACAGAAGACCGAAGAGTACAATCTGCCACTTTGCCTGGCATATGTGGACTATGAGAAAGCCTTTGATTCCGTCGAAATTTGGGCGGTGCTACAGTCCCTTCAGCGGTGCCAAGTTGACTGTCGGTACATCGAAGTGCTGAAGTGGTTGTACAGTAGGGCTACGATGGCTATCCGAGTACAGAACCAGAGTTCGAAACCTATCCAACTGCAGAGAGGTGTAAGACAGGGTGATGTTATATCCCCGAAACTCTTCACCGCTGCGTTGGAAGACGTTTTCAAGCTACTGGACTGGAAAGGATACGGTATTAACATCAATGGCGAGTACATCACTCACCTTCGATTTGCCGACGATATAGTCATTATGGCAGAATCGCTGGAGGACTTAAGCATTATGCTCAATGACCTCAATAGTGCCTCCCAACGGATAGGTCTTAAGATGAACATGGACAAAACAAAGATCATGTTTAATGTCCATGTCACACCTATGCCGGTAGTTGTTGGGAGCACTATGCTCGAAGTTGTTGACGAGTACGTTTACCTGGGACAAATAGTCCGATTAGGTAAGTCCAACTTCGACCGAGAGGTCAATCGACGGATTCAACTCGGCTGGGCAGCGTTCGGGAAATTACGACATATCTTTTCGTCAGGTATACCTCAATCTCTAAAAACTAGATTGTACAACCAGTGCGTGTTGCCAGTGATGACTTACGGATCTGAGACGTGGTCCTTCACTGCCGGCCGTATGAGGACGCTTAAGGTCGCTCAGCGAGCTATGGAGAGGGCTATGCTTGGAGTTTCTCTGCGTGATAGACTCAGAAATGAGGATATCCGCAGTAAAACCAGAGTGACCGACATAGCCCAACGGATTAGTAAGCTGAAGTGGCAATGGGCCGGCCATATAGCTCGAAGAACCGATAACCGATGGGGAAGAAAGGTTCTCGAGTGGCAGCCTCGTACCGGTAGGCGTAGTGTAGGGCGACCCCCCACTAGATGGAGTGACGACCTGGTAAGACATGCAGGAAGTCGATGGATGCAGGTGGCTCAGGACCGTGCTTTGTGGCATTACTTGGGGGAGGCCTATGTTCAGCAGTGGACTTGTGAAGGGCTGTAACGATGATGATGATGATAGAGATTTGGTAGCGCCACGCTGCAGCTATATTGTGGTTGTAGCACGAATGCGTCGACTCGATAGGGGAAGGGTGACGCTCACACAGAATACTTGAGTTAAATAGCAGCCCATTACTGTTGTTTCGTATGGTAAGTACTGGCTTTTTACTGGAAACGAGGCATTCCACCACATTAGTCCTCAGGGGTGACCACGCATCTACATTTTGATTCTTAATCGAGGATGGATCTAGATACCTATAACTATACGCCACAGCCTCCAATTGGCATCAAGTTGACTGTGTGGGCACAGTACAGTGACACTCAGTCAACTTGATGGCAGTGTGAAATTAGCTATGGGGTTATTTTTTATTATTTTTGATTATAATATTCTTATAAATCGCAATTTAAAATGCAAATTTATAAAAGAATAAAATAAAACAGGGGATATTGAGATTATAGATTTCGTCTTTGGGTAAAGCAGATTTTAAAACAGCACAAGATAAAGATTGAAAGGCCCGTTGACGTCTGATGAAATAACTTTTAGTTTAATACGTGGAGTTTAAGAGTTTTCATACTATTCATATACAAAACGTACACAATAAACATACCAACTGCACAACATCCTCCGTTTTCTCCTGCTGAGGTTCAGGCGGTGGTGGAGTCGGCTGCACCGGGGTTATGGTGATCTCGCCACAGTTCTGCAAACATCCAAACTTTCATAACTACAATCGTGTGAACACACCACTGTGCTTAGAAAGACGTAAATGTAAATTTCAAATACTTGCACACTTTAATTAATATAACAATAAAATTAATGCAAATCGTAATTAAAATGTTGTATCATCTTAAACAACAGTTTTCATGAAGACCAAAACAAATTATATTTTCTTAACAATACATTTTAGCACACAGTTTTCTTAGTAGTTCCAAGGCTAACAAAATGTGCAACGTTTTTAATATTAAGATTAAATTTATTAGTAACGCAATTACTCCAGATTAAGAGAAAAACCATTGAGTTATTATGTACTACAAAACAACACTGGTCACTTGCTAGGCGTTGGTGAGTTGACTGAACATGCTATGTTGATTATATAACAAATTCTCTTGATAAAATATCAAGTTAGCAGATAACAAGGAATAATTTTTCATTGGTGAGTAAGATACTAATTATAAAATTATATTGATAATAAATCATAATTAATAAAAAATATTATAGATAAAAAAATTCTTTTGACGCCATTTCGTGTCATGGAACACAGACTATGAAATTAATTGGTTCAGATACAACGATTCTGTGTTATTTTTATTTGACATAGTTACCTTTTAAAATATTCAAATATAAATATCATTGAAATGTAACTGTGATATTCTGTATTATAACATTATATTAAATTAGCACATATTATATGCGAAATAAATGACACATTTTAAAAATAATTGTACATACTCGAAATCATTTCCTTAATTAACAATACAATCTACTGTTACATACTGATAACTCTGCCTACGTATAATCTATGATAAAAAAACCAACCGCGCATGCGCCACGCTACTCTCCTCTGCGCATGCGCGAACACATGAGTAGCGCACATTTGTTTTGTTTGAATTTGTTGTTCTAGTACGTAAGTACATATTACTTCAATGGTAAAAACCGAACAAAACACTCCTTTCAAACGTAATAATTGTGTAAATGTCGTTTAAATCAATTAATCACGCACACACATAAATAATGTGTACTTCTATCTACAGTTGTAGGCGTGCATGAAAACAAGCAAAAAATCAAAAGAAAAATGCATGCGAAATTGCAAGAGAAATATACATGCAAAATTGCAAGAGAAATATGTCTATATTGATAATTGTAAGTTATACTACATCCGTTTCGTTACAAAAGATATTGATAGTCTCTGGTTTAATAATAGTTCTTCTAAATAAATTTCTTAAAACGCGCCGCCATATTTATGAAATTTGACATTCTGGCTGTCAAATTCCATAAATTAGGTTTTAATTTGCATATTTCTTCGAGATATCTTTAGTGAAATAGTAAAGTTTAAACCTGAGACTAGATATTAGCTTTATTTTAATAAGACCGCAGTAAATTAAAAATGCATTACAAACAAATTTAGTCTTGGAACTATTTTACTATTTAAATAGATTTGATATAAAATTGATCAAACTTGCATAACCAAAATTTAAATACAAACAATTATAAAATTTTCAATTTTTATTAAACATGGTACATTTCCTAACATTTTAGGAAATGTAACATGTTTAATAAAAATTGCATGGAGTGAACACGGACGAAAAAAAATACGTACGTAATGTAACACTGGAAAGTTGTGAGGAACCCTACGCTTTACAATTTTGTTTGACATAAGTGAGATACACACACATAAATGACAATCAGCGTCAATACTGATGAGCGCTGCATACTGACGCCAATAGTTGGACATTGGGTGTGTTCCGATACACACTGCGAGCACTGCTGGGCTTTTTGGTAAAAAAAATCGTTCCGTTATGTACTGCCAGTTTACAGCTGCAGTATTATGGAGTGTAGAGGTAAGGAGAACAATCTCTCATAGGAGAATAGTAGAAAAAGTGTCCATCATCAATACTGACAGTACAAAATTTTCAACAGCGCTGGAATAGCTGCGGAAAAAAGCTACATGAAATGAACTTAGCAGTTGTCGACGGTGTGAAGTGTGCTGCTAAACTGCTCAGTAGCTCTAAAATCTAAAATAATTTTATTTTATTTATTTAGTAAGTCCTCTATCCCATTAATATTTTTCGGCGCGTTCTTTAAAATTTACCACGTAGGTATAGTGGCGCCACCCTTATTTAACGGTTTTCTATGGAAACTTTTTAATACACAGTCTGCACTCCTTACCTTTACACTCCATACGCAGTAACCTAGGAAAGTAGATGAAATCATAAATCGCCGCCATTTTTGTATTGTGAGCACTGGCGCTTTCGAGGTAACGTGCTTTCAGTACTTTGATCACGTGATCAAAAAACATAACAGCGCCAAGAAATTTAACAGCTTCCACGAATGATTGTTATTATTATTTATTAATATTATTATTCAAGTAAACTACAGACATAAAAGTTTTAAAAGCAACAACATTCAAATAATAATTTTTCGTGTTGAACAGAAAACGTGTACATGATAAATATTTTCATTTGAAAACAGTGTCGAAAAATGGGGATGACAGTGTACTGGACTGCGTTCCAATTTAAACAGTAACCAGTACAGCAAACTAAAAAGGAACGGCTTCACAGTATACTGTATTGACGTTACAAGTTACAGTGTTCAGTGTATATCTGAACACAGCCCTTGAAGTATTTGTGTGCGTGTATCTAGCTTATGTATTTATGCCCGTGTAGTAGCGGGTAAGAATACCCACTATCCCATATCTTCCCGTGGGTGTCGTAAGATGCGACAGAGAGAAACTGAGGCAGATAATGGGCAGCAGAATCTTCCTGATAACTGTAAAAAGCTATAAAAATACTGCGGTTGCTAACCCGGTCGCCAAGCGTGGCAACTATGGCAATATAACCCCCCCCCCCCCCATTAGCAACGACATAAATAAACGGCCCCGTGTCCCCGGCGGCCCGCTATTCCTGGCTAGGGTGGCGACCATGGTAACGGCGGGGTAGGGGGTGCTAAAAATCTCCGGTGGAGGTTCAGTTGCCACCTAAGACGACTCAATCTGGCAACATATAACTCACGCACTCTGAGGACCGAAGAGAAGATCCTGGAGCTGGAATAAGAGACAGACAAGTTGCGCTGGAATATTATAGAATTATTTGAGATCCGAAGAAATGGGGAGGACACGGTAATCTTCGAATCCGGCAACTTGTTCTATCACCGGGAGGAAGTCCCAAGGAGGTGTCGGATTTATCCACAAGTCTCTCGTTAACAATGTTGTAAATATTGGGAGTGTGTCGACGAGGGTTGCGTACCTTAATACTAAGAATCACCAAACGGTATTCGCTGAAGGTCATACAGGTTTACGCACCAACCTCGGCACATGACGATGAGGAGGCGGAGGAAATGTAAGACATCTCTAGAGCCATGCATTCCTCCAAAAACCATTATACGGTGTTAATGGGAGACTAACGCAAAACTAGGCACAAGAGAGAACAGAGAGGGAAATTTGGAATACGGCAACGGAACTCAAGGGGCCAGAAGCGGCCTTACAAGAAGTGGACCTGGTCGAGCCCCGACGGCCCTAAATAAGAGATTGACTTCATTATGACTAGATGAGCACCGAATGGTTAGAGACACGCCGATCCTAAACGTTAACTTGGAGAGGTCTCGTCTAATGAATTCAACGCTCCGTTCCTCTCGGGCTTTAATCCAAAGTCCTGAAAACTCTCAGCTAGAGTTAACATAAAAAGTAGTTAGTTCAGAACGTTACTGAATGATCCTATCATATTTTCCCAAATATAATTTTTTATCCCAAAATAATTAAAAGTACGTAAATTACAGTCACACTAAATCTGTACAGTCAAAACAAAATGAAAATGGACCTACGCAAACTATGTTTTAAAAAATCAGTGTAAGTATTATGATTATAACATAATATACTAATTGGGGTGTCTGAGGGTGTGCGTTAATTACGTTACAAAATATATATATATATATATATATATATATATATATATATATATATATATATATATATAATAAGTGTCGTCCACTGCATTGCAGTCTTCTAGACTGCAGTACAGAGACATGCATGACAAGCTCTTGGAAACTGGTTATACACTCGGAGCAAGTTCTGTAACACCTGTCGCAGAAGAACACAAAAACTATCCGATCACACTCTTAATCTTATGGCTGTTAGACGGGAGATGATGCTGCAGTCGTCAGCAGATTTGACAACATACAGGCAACTGAACAGACAGATATCCGAATGCATACGGCCGGACTTACGCAATTTCAATACAGCCCGTATTGAAGAAGCGATCGAGCGGAACCAGGGCTCCAAAGTATTTGCCAGAGATTTGTCTGCCAGAAAGAGCCAACTGTCGAAGCTGGATACCGAATGTGAGATTGAGAGATTCTATTGGCAGCTGTACACTTCATCGTTGGTGCCACACGCAAGTGTGAGTAACGATCCAAGAGCAAGTCTTATCCGCCACTGACACACTTATTCCGATGATATCTCGGATGTCAATCAGAGCGAGATTAGAAGTGCTCTCCCGCGCCTTAAAAACGGCAAGTTCTAGGGCGAGGATGGAATTACAACGAAGGTCTTTAATTTCGTCCTCCATGGAGGCAAAACTCCGAAGGCGTGTAGCAGAAGTGCGGTGGTCTTGTTCTTCAAGAAAGGCAACAACTATCTCTTGAAGATCTACAGACCGATTTCTTTTCTAAGCCGCGTCTACGTGCTGTTTTCGAGAGTCATTACGAATCATCTCGCAAGCAGACTCAACGACTTCCAGCCACCCAAACAAGCCGGTTTCAGAAAAGGATTTAGCACCATAGACTACATATGTTTTTTGTGTGGTTACCTTTCCGAAAATTGTACAGTAGACTGAAGAGTACAATCTGCCACTTTGTCTTGCGTATTTGGACTTTGAAAAAGTCTTTGATTCCATCGAAATTTGGGCGGTGCTGCAGTTCCTTCAGCAGTGCCAGTTGACTGTCGGTATATCGAAGTGCTGAAGTGTTTGTACAGTAGGGCTACGATAGCTATCAGAGTACAGAACCGGAGTTTGAAACCTATCCAACTGCAGAGAGGTGTAAGACAGGGTGACGTTATATCCCCGAAACTCTTCACCGCTGCATTGGAAGACGTTTTCAAGCTACTGGACTGGAAAGGATACGGTATTAACATCAATGGCGAGTACATCACTCACTTCCGATTTACTAACAATATAGTCCTTATAGCAGAATCGCTGGAGGACCTAAACACAATGCTCAATGACCGTGATCTTACAATGATCCGTGGCATAATTGTTCCGGGTCTGGATGTTTGTACTTATACAATTTATGTATGTAAAAAAACTCCACGATAAAAGAGAAAATCCTAGTGTTGGGGTAACGTTAAAAAAAAACTCAATAATGTCTTCTATCGGATAGGTCTTAAGATGAACATGGAGAAAACAAAAGTCATGTGTAATGTCCATGTCACACCGATGCCGGTAGTTGTTGGGAGCACTAAGATCGAAGTTGTTGACGAGTATGTTTACCTGGGATAAATAGTCCGAGAGGTCAATCGACGGATTCAATTCGGCTGGGCAGTGTTCGGGAGATTACGACATATATTCTCGTCAGGCATACCTCAAAACTAGATTGTACAACCAGTGCGAGTTGCCGATGACGAGGCACTTCAATGCTGGCCATATGAGAAAGTTCAAGGTCGCTCAGCGAGCTATGGAGAGGGCTATGCTCGGGGTTTCTCTACGTGATAAGACTTAAAATGACGATATCCACAGTAGAACGAGATTAACAGACATAGCCCAACGGATTAGTAAACTGAAGTGGCAGTGGGCCAGCCATATTGCTCGAAGAACCGAAAACCGATGGGGAATAGAGGTTCTCGAGTGGCAGCCTCCTACCGGCAGGCGAAGTGTAGGATGTCCCCCCACTAGACGGAGTGACGACCTGGTAAGAAATGCAGGAAGTCGATGCATACAGGTGACTCAGGACCGTGCTTTGTGGTGTTCCTTGGGGGAGGCCTATGTTCAGCAGGGGACTTGTGAAGGGCTGTAATGACAATGATAATCTCATGTATGACAAACAAAATTATATTACCGAGGGTGTTTAATACATTTTCAGTGTAACATTACGTCCGTCGGAGTTAAAAAAATAACCCTTTTGCTACCAACGTCATTTTATGTGGAAGAAATTTGTCTTCTGAGTACTGCGTCAACAAAGGGCAATGGATATAAATTATCAGATGAGAACATTATAAACACCGAGAACGTAAACCAATTTTGACGACATTATCAGGGATTACGCTATTAAAAAGTCAAGGAAACAGTGTTTCAGCCACTAAAATATACCTAAAAAATTGTAATCATTATCAGGCCTTTGTCACTCTTGCTACCTACGTGATATAAATACTTACAATCACGCGGAACCTTAGGTTACATACGCAGTCAGGGCTAGCGGGTTTTAGGCAGGCGACATACTGGTGAATTTCTAAGTTTTTTTTTAAACTGTTTAGATAAATAGATTACTTGTATACACTTGTATACATTTTTTTGTTTACTGTTGTGTATATTTAGTTATAGGATAAAATAGTTATTAGTATTTTTTTAATATTTTTTGAAAGCCCTGGGTAACCACGAAATATCGTCCGGAATGGGAGCCAATAAAGTTTAATTTAGCTTGGGTGCGTGATTCATCTAATTAATAATAATTTTTATGTAGGCTATTAAAACGTCTGCAAGTAGTCAACATCAAAGAAGTTCAACTTCTGTACGTAATACTGTTATTTATTCTGTGCTACTTTGATTCAAATGAAAAAGCAATATAAAATGAAAACTAAGGCATCATTTGCTTTAAAACCTAGGGCATCAAAAAGTTAAACCCCATGGGTGCCGTATAATGCGACACAGAGAAAAACAAAACAGGAGATGTGCAGCATCAGCAGCATCTATTTGATAACAACTCTGAAATATTAAAAAACCGCACTTGTCAACTCGCCTACTACGTGTGGCAACTATGGCAATGCCTATAGGCAATCTAGTGGGGAGATCTATGTTCAAAGGCTTAGAAACCTTTAAGAAAAGAGTTTACACCTTTCTAAAAGGCCGGCAACGCACCTGCGATTCCCGTGGTGTTGCGGTTGTTCATGGGCGGCGGTAGACACTTACCATCAGGTGAGCTGCAGGCTCATTAGCCCCTCGTCTAAAAATAACGGGCTACAGTAGTCACTTACTGCCTGGAAAATTACAGTAATGTAAACTCATGTTTAACCTATTTTATAAAAAACTGTTTGGTTTACAATGGTGATGGGGCTTCTCCCGAGACACTGATAGCAAAGGGGTTACTAAGTACATTACAAGTATTGTAATTTTAATTGCTATATTAACTTTTTGTTAATGAAATGTGTAAATGCACATGAAGTGAATTTATTACTAATAATGAGTATTGCCACTTTTTATGTATTTGTACAATGTACTCAATAAACAGTTGAAACATTATACAACTAACAATAGAATAAAAACACATAATAACAATCAAAGCCAACACATCAAATGCCTGAATGTTCAAAGGTATTTCTAACGCCGTTCCAATACATTATATGATATTACAATTATTACAACCTGTGCAATGTAAAGTACCTAACAATTAGAATATTCGAATTGGCACAGGTCTCACATTTTAAGTTAATAAATAATTGCTTCGTTTAAATATTGCAGAACCAGCGTTAGATGTGGCTCCAACTATTTTAAAAATCATAGCAATAATAAATCTCTTAAAACTAAATTTTGAATTTTGAATGATCGAGGCCAATCAGCACACCAATTTGGGTCTTAACTTGTACACATTAAGGTGGTACCTTGGCCTGACCGAAACTTGGCAACGTTGGCGCGCTCTGTTTCCTTTCCGGCGACGTAAGCAGTTTAGCCAACGTCGGGGAGAAACTCTGAGACGCAGGGGACACCTGCTGGAAGTTTGGCAACACCCATTCAAGCTAATTCAAAAGTTCGGAACGCTCTGTGACATAAATGAAGTAGGGATGTACATAGGCGGCAATTTAAATCTGTAACTGAAAATTTTAATTGTTGGGTGTTAGATACCTATTTCCATACAAGTATTTTTAAAACATTTTTTATAATCATGCTATGTGATATTGTCCTATTAAAAGAAAAATAATTACATATACTTTAAATGCCAAAAGATAATTAAACAATTTACTAAATATAATTAGATGGCATAACTATGTTCATCCCTTTTTAAGAATATGCAATGTTTTTTGAAATATAATAAAAAAGTAGTGTCTTCAACTCAAGCGCACAATCCCGCCTATTTTGAAGCCACCTGAAATCGCTAAGAAATAAATAAAAGCTACGTCTAAATGTTGCTAACTGATTAAAATTTATGATAAAATCATTTATAATGCTACCATATAAAAGTATACCTTTGTCAGTATTCCGTGAAGTAGAGAATTTTGAGATTGTGAGGTTTCTTGACTCGTAACAGGCAACAACGATATTTCTGGGTACGGAGGTGGTGGTGGGAGTCTCGGACTTGGGGATGCCAATCTTTCCACTTGTTTAGGAACATGAGGCTCTTCATGACTTCTCTCCTGTCTTCGTCTTCCATCTGGTCTTATATGGTGTTCTGGTCTATTTGGCATAGCCTCCATTGGCCTGTTATGACCTGGCATTAGATTTGGGTTGGCTTGTTGCATATTAGCGAACTGCACCAGGACATCTTTGAATGAAAGACCATTGGGTATTCCTCCAGCTTGTATCTGCTGTAGTCTTTCCAACATTGCCTTTTGGTTCTGGAAATAGTTTATAATGATGTGAATAAAGCAACTAACATCTATAGATTAGTGTTTAAATTAAAGTAAGACCAAAATCATCAGGTCACAACAACAAGTGATTTCGGTTCTATAGTTCGTGCCAAATCGATTGAGAAAAACGGACGATGACCTCAGATATGAGCCGAGTGTCAAAAGGCGTAACTTACAAAATCTCAATTTAGATGTGATAACAATATTTAAATATTGATATTATTCACACTTCTAGGTCAGCACATATGTTTTGTTTTTTTGTTTCTTAAATAATATTGTCTGTGGTTCCTATAAACATCGTAAAATCTTACGGTACATTGCGAAAAATGTGTTATATTTTATATTTCAATTTATGATAAGTAACGCAGCAATTCATTTAATAACAGTTTCATATTAAAAAAAAATATTTGAAGCAATATAATCACCATATTGAGCTTTTGCAAATTCATCCCTTTAAAATAAACAAAACGCGCGTTACGTCAATTCGTTCTAAAAGAAACGTGACAATGGCAGCCAGAGATGCGCCACTTTTTTGGGCCGGCCCGCGTGCACTGAATAAAAATAAAGTTCTTATATAATATTGAAAATAAAGTTTTATCGTTTGATTAAGTACGTACTTATTCGATGTCGTTATCACTCGAATCTTTATATGTTATAAATTAATGCTTTTTGTTGTTAAATGAATAAAATACTTTATAACAATAGATGATTTTTCTTCTACAGCGATCTTTTACATAACTTGTTAATAATAGTTAATAAATATATACTATATCAATCATCATAAAAAACCATTATAAATAAAGAAAGTACTACATATAAAAAGTGCCTATACAGGATGTTAGTGTAAACACCGTTGTCCTTGAAACCAGTGGTTTGGTTTCACTTATAGAACGTAAATCCAATAGTAATATAACAATACTATAGTATAATAACAATACTAGCTGTGGAATACCCAGATTGGTGAAGGGAAGCAGTATCAAGCTGCGAAGCATGGCGTCTATGGCAAATCTTCCCTGCTATAGTTATCTCTAACATGTTCAGCAGTGCACTATTGAAGAGATTGCAGAGAGCTTAACTAACATGTACCATGTTTAGCTTAGTTAACTTTTTTGTTGTGATTATTAGATATATCATCATCATCATCATTGCCACTTCAGCTTACTAATCCATTGGGCTATAACGGTTACTCTGGGTCTACTGCAGATACCTCATTATATGTACAGATATACATATTATATGTAGGTTGTGTTCCGAACCAGTGGTAAAAAATTGGTAAAAGTCATTTTTCGCCAAGTGGTGGCGGCGGAAGAGAATTCATCATCTCATATCGTCCTGTGGGAATCGTAAAAATCTGTTATGCGTCGTAAAGATCCTACTGATGACCTTCGATAGATGACAGTATAACATCTAGTGTTTTTACCAGATGTAGACAGAAAAGCGACTGAGAGCAGCGTCAAAAATTCGTAAGGTCTAGTATAGACATGTCAAGCATGAATGATTCGTTCGTTTGAGCTGGTACACCTAAAAGTATTGATGGTTCATTCATCTGTTTTTGAATGTTTCGGTAAAACCAGTCAAAAACAATTGACGGAACCTTTTTAACTCGTGATTGGTGTGACTCATTCAAGAGTCGAAAACCGACCGAATCCCGAATGATCTGAATGAATTGTTTTTAGTGTAGGGTACTGGAGCCCGATATGATCCATTTGAATGATCGATGCGAATGTACCGATACGCGTGACGAAATGTAGTAGAATGATTCGGTCACGAGAAATGAATGATTGACACATGTCTAGTCCAGTATCTCCAATCCGGCTGCCAGGCGTGGCAATTATGGTAAATCCTATTTTAGGATAGACTCATGACCTGCACTGGACTATTTAAGGGATGATAAAAAACAATTATATTTAAGTTTCTATTTTTGCAAAAAAATTATTCATATAAATAGAATAGAAGTGTCCGTAACATCGAAATAATCTGCCTTTTTTCTTCTTTTTTAAAGCATTGGATGACAAACGAGCACACAGTCCACCTGATGGTAAGTGAATGATGTGGGCCATAGACATCCACATTTATATTCAACTAAGGATCAAAATGCAAATGCGTTGTTACCCCTGAGGACTAAGCTGGAATGCCTCGATTCCAGTAAAAAGGGTCACCGGTTCTCTACACTCACCATACGAAACACAGCAGCATTACGCTGCTATTTTACGTTGATATTCTGTGAGAGCGTGGTCCTGCCCCGGTCGAGCTGACCCATTCGCGTTACAACTATAATATAGCTGTAGCGCGCTTTATATCGAGCACTGGGTGTGTGTGATGGCTGCATGCCATTATACCCCATGATACATGAATAACCCATTTATAAAACTTTTGCCTGACTGTTTGTTTAGGCTTTTTTTCGGAATGAACCGATTGTGATTCAAATGAAAGCAATGCCACGAGTGACCTAAGGCTATATTTTACGTGAAAAACTTGGGAATCATTTTATTTGAGGAATCGAAAAATTGATAAAATTAATGATCATTAATAATTATCACCCAAATTTAAACAACGCCGCATTGATAAGTCCTACCCAGGCGAAGCTGGGCGCGTCGCTATTACAAAAATAAACAAATTAAGACAAATCATGCACTGCGTGAACTAATTCCGCGACCATACGCCCTATATATCTAAATTCAAATCGATCATGCGCCCAGTAGCAACGACCGCCCCGCCGCAAGCGACTGCCGAACGGGGTCAAGGATCTGTAATTATTAATTCGACTCCGGACCGCCAAGGTCGGCTTTTGTAAGTTGCTCGAAGGTGACGTAGTGTAGTCGGTTGGGAGCGACTAGGGGACGGAGACAAATTCTGGATTTGTCAGTAGGTACACTTAGTGTAGCATCCCTGTAGCCTGTGATAAATGAAAACTGTATTACAGGTTACAGCGTCTTCCCGGTTTTCAGGGACACAGCTGTTATAATGTGGCAAACTAGCAATCAAAAAACATAATGAATTGGCCTAACTATGAACCAATGAAGGAAATGAAACGAAACCAATTTTATTTTTCAACATAATCACCATGAATACTAACACACTTCTGACATCTGTGAATCAACATCTCTAAACCTTTATAAAAATAATCACATTTTTTATCCTCAAAATGACTGAAGACGGCCTCCTCTTAAGTCCCGCTCTAAATTTGGAAATAAATAAGAGTCGGACGGGGCCATGTCTGGACTGTAAGGTGGATGTTGAACTTCTGTGAACCCGCATTGACGAACTGCATCCTTCGAAACACCAGCTGTATGAACAGGGGCGTTGTCATGGAGCAACAGGACACCTTTAGACAGCTTTTGCCTCTTCGTTTTCCCTTTATCTTGTCTCGTAATTTATATATTAAAGAAGCATAATATTCGCCGTTCACGACTGTATTACGTTCTTTAAAATCCACCATCAAAATGCCTTGAAAACCCCAAAATATTGTGCACATCAGTTTTTTAGTCGATTGTTGCACCTTTGCCTTTCTAGGGGGCTTTTCACCCTTATAACGCCATTCCATTGACTCGCGCTTGCTTTGTGGATCATAATACAAGATCATAGTTTCATCACCAGTCACTAGCCGCTCGATCACAGTCTTTGGATTTTCGCCAAAAAGATCCAAAAACTCCGAAGCGCAGCGCACTCTTTCCTGTCTCTGTACCCTGAAAGAAGTTTCGGTACCCATCTTGCACTCACTTTTTTCATGTGAAGATGTTCATGGATCGCGCGATGAACGGTACTCTTAGAGAGCCCAAGCCTTGCTGCAATTTCTCTAATCTTCAAATGGCGGTCACTCAGAACCTCCTCTTCGATAAGAGCAATCGTTTCGGGAGTGAGCACTTCCACAGGTCGACCGTCGTGGCCAAAGTCTTCGACGGTTTCTCTCCCGAGGCGAAACTCTTTCACCCAATTTTTCACTGTGCTTTAGGAGGGGACAGACTCCTTATACATGCCATCCAATCGTTTTTTATTTGGGCAGGGGATAAACCTTCTTTAAACAGAAACTTTATGACACTTCGATACTCAGTTTTCGACATTTTGAAAAAATACGCGACTCTCGTTATTCCAAATGCCTGTTAAACTAAGACTAAGCATTTCATGTCGATGCATGTTTCTTATAATACTAATATTAAGTGCACGATAAACGTACTATTTAATGCAACACAACATGTAGCGACATGTCGCGTTGAACTATATCAGGCCAGTTCATTATGGGACCGCCTGGTAAGTTGCCATTGGATTTGAAACCATCGACACCTATACAATATATTAATATACATACATGATTATGAGGTTAATAAATCATAAAACCATAGAGCAACTTAGGAAAAAAACTTTTATACACTATAAAAGGTACTGCCGTATTTTAGTGAGGGTTCAGTTGTGAGTTTCCTGCCTGCAAATGAGTGTTTCTGCTGAATCCGTTACCATTTACATTAAGTAAAGAATAATATATAATTATTGTGATTCTTTGACCAAGTGAATAAAAAGTGCTACTATATAATCTGTTTTACTTGATATCTACTTATTAAAACATATAAACTAACAATGTAATATTACATACATACAGTTTATTTGTATTTTTGTTTGTACGCGTTGATTAGTAAGCTGAATAGGCAATGGGGTGTCCATACAGCTCGAAGAACCGACAACCGATGGGGAAGAAAGGTTCTCGTGTGACAGCCTCAGTAAGCGAAGGGAAGCGCGACCTCCCACTAGATGCAGTGACTTCCTAGTAAAATATGAAGGAAGTCAGTGGATGCAGATAGCTCATTACCATGCTTTGCGGTTTCCCTTGGAGGAGGCCTGTGTTCAGCAGTGGACTTGTGAAGGTCTATAACGATGATGATGATACGCACTGAGGTTTTGGAAATTCAATTAATTAAAAAATTTGCCTTGTAGTGGCGGTTAAGAATATCCACTACCCCATATCTTCCCGTGGGTGTCGTAAAAGGCGACAGAGG